CACACACACACACACACACACACACACACACACACACACACACACACACACACGCACGCACACACACACACACACACAGGAAGTAAATAGGTGGTGTTAAATGGCATGAAAAAGCTTTTAGAAAATTGGAGATGGTGCAGCATGGATCTAAAGCAAACATGCTTTACTTAGCTCACCATGTGCTCCCAAAAAAGCATCTGTTTGTCTTTTTTTAATTAAAGCAAACATATCATGCTGTTCTATATAAAGTGGAACTTCAAAGCTTTAGTCTGAATTCCTTCCAGTTGTAACTCTACAAGCCCCTCTTTCAGCCCTTGTGGTGTGTCTCGGATCAACTCGTTTTGACGATGTCTCTTTAAATCCAAACGAGGCCCGTTACACCCCGCCCTASAAAGGGTGGGGTCCATTCTAGATTGATAGAGSRGTTTACCACTRTACAGTGTTTCATTTACAAATTAATTAAAAGATGTCAACGGAAAACGTGTCCATCCAGCCTCACATGTTGGGGCCAGAGTCTGACCCAGAGCCAGAGGAGAATGAAGATGACCGAACTGTAGTTAGTCCAGACCTTAATTGGCAGTTCTGTAGCCAATTTTGTGACGTAGTAGTTCAGAAAATGTCGTAGAGAATAGAGAAAACTGAACAGGTTGAAAAATATGACCCATACAAAATATAAAGATATCTACGCAGCAACGGGAGATAATAAATTCAACATTTTGCACTCCTATTGACTCCAACATGAATTCATTAGTCAAAAAGTGGACTTTGCACATGTCCCCTTTAAATTTAGATTAAAAACCATCTGAAACATGATAAGGACGTGCTTGGAGGAGAAATGTAGTGCCAGACGCATGGCTGCATCAGCAGCTCAGTGTTATCCAATACAGTATATAGATTTATACATCAAATAAGATTATCAGCCTCAGGTCAGTTGCCACATATAGTGATCCATTTGACTGCTGTGCTGACAGAAACAAGGCCTGTCATAAAGATTTAAGTTTCTTCCCTTGAGGTGGAAGATTTATCTCCTTAAAGACACAAAAATGGAGGTTTCTATAACACGCACATGTCAAAATGAGTTGTGGTCTGGCTGTGCCATGACTCCTTCACCCTTCTTTTGTTTCAGTGTGTAACCTGATCAGAGCAGGGAGGTATCCACCACACGCAGGTTTAAGATTCGGACAATTAGATTAGCAAGAGAAAAGTCAAAGTGTGGCATCCATCCTCCTGGTTTCTGCTCCAGGTTGGACAAAGAGCCTCAATGTTTGTAGTAACAGGGTTACAAAGGCCTCGGATTCCACAGGACAGCTGGGCACACACGCGCACTCGGACATGCATATTTAAGGCGTGTGTGTAACAGGAATTTAAAAAGCAGAGGTAGTAATCTGTAGGAAAAGCCAAAAGTCTGGAATCCTTCAGACTAGTGACAAACTTTCACACAATGTTTCATTCTTCCCTCTCTTTATTATGTATTTCACAGCTGTGGCTGTTTTTTTTTATATGAACATTATACTTGCACAAAGGATAAAATATTGCGCACTCCTAGAGCCAACACCGCTGTATAAAGAAAAACATATCTGCTCGCCACAAGATTAAACTCTACTTGATACGAGAGTTTTAGTAAGCCAAGACAAATCATTTTTTCATCAGAATGTAATTTTTTCCCCTCTTTTTTTTTCAGATAGATTTCCAAGAAYCTTCCTGGAAGAGTCTTTGGAATCCAGGGGGCGCACATTTACAAGAGTTCAGGAGGTGAACTGCCGAGCGATTAATTCAAAATAAACCGGCTCAACAAATATTTAAGCAACTAAGCAACTCAGGTAAACAGACAAAAACAATTTATGTCCCACGACTCACAGGGTGACTGCTTTAAAGAATGTGATATTTTTAAAAACATTCTGTTTGTCTAACACAGGAGTGTCAAACTCAATAACACAAAGGGGACAAAATTCAAAACTGGATCCAAGCCAAGGGCCAATTTCTGTTAATATTTACTGAAGAAATGTTATACAACAAACTATTCTCATATACAAATGACCTTTTCCAAATCTGTTTTAGCATTTAGAACTTACAAAACCTGACAGATACAAAAATATATACAGTATACTGTAT